CGGGGCGGGTGGCCCCTGGCCACGGGCAGGTGGCTTTGGAGCATCCCTGCGGAGGGAGGCTCCGGGCCCCCCTGGGCAGTCACCGCATGGTGGAAGGTCTCTCCTGGTGCTCCGAGGGCCCCTCCTGTGTTTCAGTGTATGCCCACCGCCCCTGGTCCGGGCACTGGGCACCGCTGGGGCTCAGCTCACCCCTCCTCTTCGGAGTCTCCCTTCCGGTGTCTACACACATTGGTAGGATTCCCCCTGAGCCTCCTCTTCTCCAGGCTAAACAGTCCCAGCTCTCTCAGTGTTTCCTCGCAGGAGAGACGCTCCAGTCCCTTCATCATCTTCGTGGCCCTTCGCTGGACCCTCTCCAGCCTCTGCTCTGCTGGGGAGCCCAGAACTGGGCACAGCCCTCCAGGTGTGGCCTCACCAGCGCTGAGCAGGGGGGATGGCTCACCTCTTCGGCCTGCTGGCAATACTTTAACACAGCCCGGGATACCGTTTGCTGGCACCGCTGCTGCAAGGGCACGCTGCTGGCTCGTGTTCGACCTGGTGGGGCCCCCAAGTCCTTCTCTGCAGAGCTGCTTTCCAGCTGGGCGCTCTCCAGCGTGCGCTGGTACCTGGAGTTGTTCCTCCCCTGGGGCAGGGCTTGGCACCTCTTCTTTGTGGAACTGCGTGAGGTTCCCGCTGGCGCATCTCTCCAGGCTGCTGAGGTCCCTCGGGATGGCCGCAGGACCACCTCGCCTCCCAGCCACGCTCCCAGCACGCCTGCTGAGCGTGCAGCCTGCCCTGCCACCCAGATCGTTCATGAAGACGCTGAACAAGCCCAGCGTTGACCCCTGGGGTGCACTGTTTGTTACCAGTGCTCAGCTGGACTTTGTGTCCCTGATCGCTGCCTTCTAGGCCCAGATGTTCACCGGTTTCCAGTCCAGCTCGCTGCCTGCTCATCCAGCCCGGGAGCTGTTGGCTCCTCCGTCACTTAGGTCGGGAAGTTGTCACCAGTGCTCTCCAGGAACCTCCTGGCTTGCTCGTGCCCTGCTGTGCCGTCCTTCCAGCAGCTACTGGGGTGGCTGGAGCCCTCCGTGAGGACCAGGGCCTGCAGACGGGAGGCTGCTCCCGTCTGTCTGCAGAGAGCCTCATCCTCTTGTTCTTCCTGGTCAGGCGGCCCACAGCAGACACCCACTGCAGCGTCGCCCGCGCCAGTCTGCTCTGTATTGCTCACCCAGAAGCTCTCAGCTGGCTCCTGACCCATCCCCACGCAGAGCTCCCTGCCTTCCCACTGCTCCCACACAAAGGCTGGCTCCCCCTCCCCATCGTCTCGTGGCCCCGACTCCTCTGTGCGTGCCGCCGTGTAATTGTCAGGGTTCTCTCATGGCGTAGGAGTAGGTGGACAGAAGTCCTGACCTGGCGCAGGGATGCTTTGTGAGACGAGGCGTGCTGTGTGGGGTTCGTTTCTGCGGTGGGGGTGGTGGCCAAGTGCGTCGGGACGGGGATGAGGGGCAGGGAGCTGGAGGAGGGGGTTTGCGCAGCCAGCTGAGCCGTCAGGCAGGGCCCTTTCTTGCTGAAAATTGCGCTGCCAATTCTCTTGAACAGAGAGGATCAGCCGCGGTGGCCGAGGAGCGGGATGTGCTGTGCCGAGCCTGGCGCTGCCCTGTGAATACTGGAAGTGAACGGACGCGATCTCTGTTCCCAGAGGCGCCGGGCTCGCGTGGCTGAGTTACACAAGCACGTGCACCGGCCGACACAGCCCCGGGCACCGTCAGCGTAGGCCCGAAAGCTGGTGTGGCTCACCCCTCGCTGC